TTAGTTGCCAGCTCAATATCAAAGTGTTTCCATACAAAAGCAACATGGGCGCACCCATTGAATTAAAATCAGTTTTGTCTTTGGATTGTGACCCAATGAATATTGAAATAGTATACAAATAACTATTTACTGGGAAGTACAGTGCATGAGATGTTATTGCTTTTGAGAGTTACAAAAGGGACTTTTATATGGTGGAAGCAGTAAACTTAGGTTATGATAAGGACTGAGGTTGGCACAATTACATCCTGTTGAATTCCCACAACGGATAATTAAATCATTTACCCACATTAACCATGTCGAGATATTTCCCCTGCTCTTCCCCTTCTTCCATGCTGTGTGTCAGTGTCATCTAATAAAAAGGGAGTTTTTCAGTCTTTACATAAACACACATTACCGGGAAGTGATTTATGTGTGGGACCAACAACAAACCCAATGCAATACCATTAATGAATAAAAAAGTAGAAAGTGATGACGTTTTTTTTACATTCACTTAAATGTTTGTGGTAGTAGGAATGTAACCTCAAAATAATTTGTCTCATGCAGTGTATAAACTGCACCCTTTGTCATTGAAGCGCGATGGCTGGTTGACTTGTAATACATTGCAGTGGATATTCCAGATTCAGGAACAGCATGTTGTGTTTCAGTAAATCACGCCCGTCCAATAAGGAAACTCTTTCTCCTGAGGTGTGCGGGGTAAACACAGCAGAGTGGGCGTGTGCCGAGATGAAGTCAACTTTAAAGATGAGGGAGAGCTTTACCTCGGTAGAATGCTCCTGGAAGCTTTAGTGTTAAGTCCTGGTTGGGGACAAATATAGCCGGGGAGGATCCACCTCAAGGGGGTAGTTAGCTGATCCTGCTGCGTATGGAAACACACTCCGCCTCGCTCTTCCTCTCGCACAGCCGACGGCTCTCTCACAGCTAGACCACTAAACCAACCCGGTTGCTCTATAGCTGATTTTACAATGTGTGGCAATGGAGGAAGTTGTTAGAGGAAGAATGATCTGATCTGTGAGGCAGAGCCCTGTTCTCCAGCTGAGTCGACCTGAGGCAGCATCCTTGCTTTCATGTGTACAGTCATGAAGTTTAACCAGAGCGTACTGCAGGACATGTCCGACAACAACAACAACGACAACAAAGTCTGGAAATGGTGAGAGTCTTTCTCCTGACAGTCTTTAAAAAAGAGCTTATGGTAGTAGTTGTTCATCAAATATGTCAAAGCTTGGCTAGTCTAACTGGCTGGGGACTTGTTAACTCTTGTTGTTAACCATTATTTTCCCTTTAATGCATCTGTGTATTACATATTATCTTACCTAATTTTAGCTCATGTTAAGAATGCTGAAATTCATTTGTGGGACCTTTTTTTAAGTAGTTACAGTTAGCTAAGTTTGAATATTTTAAATGGTATTTGGTTATTGTTAGTGTATTTTATAGCTTGTGAATCTTTTTTTATATAAAATGAACATATTTAGATGTGCTATAAATATATATTGTAAATACTTTCTGTTTGTGTCTTGGCCCCCATTCTAAAGCCTAAAATGGAGTTTCTCAACACATGTTTGATATGTAAATATAACTGCCAACGTTTTTGGCTTTGTTTTGTTTCTAATTTGTCCTGAGTGCATAGGGATGGACTGATATCTAGATTGAATTTAATTGTAGTCCCACAAGTGGCAGTGTGTGCATGGTATCACAGGCTGGCTGTTGTGTAGACAGAGCGGGGTCGCTGATGAAAGAGGAAGGTCTCGGGTGGGGATGCTTTCAGGTGGTCAGAACAGAAACGGCCTATGAATAGATCACAGCTTGGCACCGTTTCAAATGCTAATGAAGTTTTGATTGTGTTTGTGTTTGAAACCAGGCCTGCCCAGCTTCCGTTAATTCCACGGTTAATGAGGTTCACTCAATTTAGGAAGTGTTTTTTTTCTAGTTGGGTTGTTTACCTCCCTTTTGTACAAAGTTGAAAGACTGCAAGGGACTGACACAATGCCCTGTGCATTAGAAGGGAATCTGATACTGGTAATTACCGCCTTGTTTGGTTTAAAGGCTTGAGTTTGTGGTATTTTGTATTTGTTTGGTGTGTTTGATACTTTTTGAATTGACAGAGCAACAGGTTATTTTATAATGATAGTTGTGTGTGTGTTGGAATCACTGGCCTCTGATGTGTTCTCCTGGCATGTTCCTCAACCAGCAAGGTATATTGTATTACTGAGACGGTGTGTGATTTATTTAAATATTTACAGTGGCAGATAGTTAGCCACATGTGCGGCCAACAGAGCCGGCCCTTGGAATAGGCAGTATAGGTGAATGCTAAGGGTGCATCAACCCATCGGGGGCGCCAACAATTGGGGAGAAAAAAAAAAAGTTAAAAATTTCAAAAATATATATTTTTACATTTTCATAAGAACACAATTTCCCAATTTTGGATCAACAAAGTACATCTTATTATCTTATACTAACATAACTACGCCTATATTGCGTACAGCGCTCATAAACTATGGCACCCCCCCCCCACAAAATCAACTGTCCCAGCCCCAGTAAAAACCAGAGGTTTACTGTATGTGAAATTGTTCTTTTTTTTTAAATAATGGTTTTAGTGTGCAATTATAGGTTTTAATTTTGTATTTGTGTTAATTTAAAAATAAATCAAACTCCCAAAAAACGTATACAGCTTCTGTGTGCTTTTATTAACATTGGAATTTACTGTGTAAGCGGCCGTGGGGGGGAGAGCTTTAGAGAGCTCTCTCCTGACAGACTCTCAGTCTGATAACCTCAGCTCAGTGAGGTAAAGGCACATCTTTATATGATCATAAAACTGGAAAATCTGTTTCCAGTTCTGTTTCATATCGTGTTGAGAGATGTATCCATAGATCTCTTAATGTTGCTCTCAAAGTGCACCAGATTGATGCTTTCAACTTCAATATTTAAAAAAGCTAAAATCTTGCCTAGGGCAGCAAATTGGTGGCCAATGTTGACACACTGCTGATATCTGAGAAGAGTGGAAAATAAATCATCATTTGAAGGTTAATGGGGGCGTGTATGCTGGTTCTTCCAGTAAACTGCCATGTCATAGCACCTGTGTAGAGGTTTTATCTAGTTGAATGTTGTGTTTGTATAATCTGTTGTAATGCAGGGGTAGACATTAAGGGTAAAATGCCACTGGCCCTCAGGGCCGGTAGAATTGTATTATCATTGGCCCCACCATTGTAACCACTGGCCCGGAGCATTCGTCCAAAAAAAATCGACTTATAATGAAGAAAATTAACACATTTGTTGCAATAGTAATTCATGCACTAACTACATTACTACTTGTACTACAATATTTGAACAATCAGTTCTTCCTCATTTTCCTCAATTGTTCATATTTGGTTTATTAAAATAATGATATTGTGGTCATTGTTAAAAAATGTCTGCTATTATTATGAGTATTATTATTTGTATAATGCACTTTCTGGCTTCCTGTCATCAGGAGTTAGAAATGTAATGGCTATGTAATAGATTAGATTAGAACCTTCATTATCCTAAACTGCTGGGACATTTCCCTAAAGCCAATACCTTTATATTTTCTACTCTTCACTTACTTGTCAGCATAGGTCGGCATTGATGTACAGAGCCGACAGAAGACCTTGTTTATATTGGCATCATATTGAGAGGTGCAGCCAGTGACGCGTCTTAAAACCAGGAAGTAAGCTGCTGGTTCCCTCGACAAAAAGCAATGGGATTTCTCCACAGGGTTTTGGAAAATAGCTGGAAATAAGGTCTGTGGAAAATTAACCTGTTTGATTAATGCACGTTTTGTTCAGCCGGATAATCTCCACATGTCTACCCTACTTTTATAATTTTCTAATCATAAATCGAATCGATAGATTATAAAAGGGTTTTAGGACGCGTCACTGCACCACTAGAAGCCAACTCCATCGATCAAGCTGGCTGAAACTTTCTCTCCCTCTTCTTCTCATACTCCCTGTCACTCTCCTTTAACTCCTCCGGTGACTTTCTTTTATTTGAAGATTATTTTTTGCCCGGCGCTTGGCCGGTTACCGCTGGTATTAAAAACATTTTGGTGAATGGTTAGGTTTGCTTTTCACCCAACAATGACAACCGACTCACGAAACGCTATGTTGTAGCGTTAATAAATTAAACGATTTAACTAAATTGCTAGTCAAAATACCAATACCACAGGACAATTTTTTTTTTTAAACCAATATTTTTAGTGGCCCGAGCGGGCAAGTGGAAAGTACGTTATGCTGGCCTGGGGTGTCTAAATAGTGCTTCCGGGCCAGCGGGCCATTTATAATGTCGAGCCCTGTAATGTAATCGTTCCTTTTAGTTATCATCTTCTTATTCAGTTATTTAGTCTTGGTTATGTCCCCTGATGATATTAAATGCTTGAAATAAACATTCTCTACATGTGATCAGTCGCATCAGTAACGGACTAATGTATGACGGGGCAAACGGGAGTCATCATCAGACGCTGCTGTTGTTCGGCTAGTTTCAGCTTTATTTTATCCTCAGATTTAATATTTGTGGTCCCGGTCCATATTAGTTTCAGCCTCAAGGAGGTCAGATTTTCATGCTTCCTGCTTTTAGTCAAGTCATGATTGTGTGCTTTTTCGTCCCGGTTTATCTTCACAACTCGTGGCTCCCCGCCTACAGTCTAGATAGTACAGCTTGCATTTTGCTTATAACAGCTATATTTTATGCACTATTTTCCTCTCACATTTTTATCTTTCAGTTGTCTTTCTTGAAGCATGGTGCCAATGATATCCTTGACCCTGTGTGGGGGTTAGATAAGGTGAAGGCCATGAGACGGCACACGGGGTCTTTAATCCGGTGGCTCTAATTGGATATCAGCTAAGCAGTCCTGGCTATGATGATGCTTTGCTTAAATAACAGCTATGTTTTACGTTCTGAGGCTCAGCGCTCAGACCTGGGCTGATGTAACGGAGGGAATCCTTATCAAGTGACCGTTTGGCCCTACTGACGTAGCGTTGTGTTGTTTTCAGGCACATTCAGGACCCCGCCAGCCAGAAACTGACGTGGAACAAGCCACCAAAAAGTGTCCTTGTCATCAAGAAGATAAGAGATGCCAGTCTGCTTCAGCCTTTCAAGGAGCTCTGCATATTCCTCACCGAGGTATGGCCACGTGTTCACTGACAGTATATCTGATGTTTATTATTCAAAGTCCTCACTATCAATTCCTTACCTTTGTTGTTCTTGTAGGTGAAGGACATGATTGTATATGTGGAAAAGAAAGTTCTGGAAGATCCTGCCATATCAGACGATGAAAACTTTGGGGCCATTACTGAGAAATTCTGCACTTTCAGAGACGGTATGAGAACCAGCCATCTTCAGAACACTGTAAATAAAAGACTGGACCTTTAATTTAAAATCTGTATTGCCTTCTTTTTATTTCTCAGATCTTGATGACATCTCCAATCGCGTAGACTTCATAATCTGTCTCGGTGGAGACGGAACTTTGCTGTATGCATCTTCGCTTTTTCAGGTATTCACTACTGACAATGTGTGGGTCTTCTTTTGTTTGCAATTCCTGGTATGACACAGTCCTCTAACCCAGTGGTTCCCAAACTTTTTGTGCCCAAGGCACACCAAAGGACAAGTACAAATCTCAAGGCACACCTATTGTGCAAAATAGCCCTTATAACACGTGTTATCACTCATATCATGTAAAATATCTGTAAATGTGCTTAATTATTTACTAATGCCAAATAAAATGTGACAAAGACAACTATATTACTCATGAAATATTTATTAACGAAATATTTCAGAAATTAATTTGAAACGTTATCAAATTAGGCTTCATCAAAGCAGCGACACACTCATTTAAACCAGACAGGTCACAACATTAAAAATGAGGCAAAGGAAACTCAGCAGAAATTCAGCACAGAGAACTGTCAATGCAAGGAAGCTGCATTGTCCATGGTCCTGAACTACAAATTATAAATGTAACATTTCAGCAATCAGCATTGAAACATGTGCTATTGTAAATATGTTGCCGACTTACAAATTAGTGAGATACATGTGCCTGTCGGGGCGCGCAGAATTGTTTAATCCTTGGTGGCACTGAGGAGAGGGCCACTCGCAAGTCCTGTTCAACAGAGAGCCGTGACCTCCTGTTGTTCTTCATGTAAACCAGAGTAGATGACGCCAACTCCAGAGATGGGGTCGTTACTAATTTGTTTTAATATATTACATATTACTTTAAAAAAAGCAATATATTACACTACTTTGTTACTATCTATATAAAGTAACTCGTTACTTTACTCGTTACTTTACTCGCCGAGCACGTACGAACTGCGCATGCGTGAGTGGCAATAACTTTCCTTACCAGCAGGCGGCGGTAGTGTGTATTTGTCATTCAAAACAGGCAACAACCGGAAGACAGAGAAGAAGAACAGACAGCAAATGGCGTGATATAAACAAACAGCAAATGGCGTGTGCGGTAGCTTCACCTTAGCATGTGTTCTTTGCAGGTGTTTGTTGAGGTTTGACGTGGTGTTTACAGCAGTGGATAACAGCTGCTGGCCTGGACACAGTTTGCACCTCACCGTCACATTCCTGTCTATTCTTCGGACGAACTCAAAATAATGGGCATACCTCCACCCCTCGAAAGTTATCGCTGACCATGTTTATGCAGCACTGCACGTGGAGATGTGGACGCACAAGTCGCGCAGATTACGTAGATATAAACCTACAAAGTACTGATATAGTAAATTAAAAAATAATTATTTTTGTGTAGTTGTATATTGCAATAATAACGTATGGTTGTCACAAAATCCCACGGCACATCCGGACTTGCCTCACGGCACACCAGTGTGGGAACCACTGCTCTAACCCTTACCTTTTTGTTTATTTGTAGGAAAGCGTTCCACCAGTTATGGCCTTCCACCTGGGCTCCCTGGGTTTCCTGACACCTTTTAAATTTGACACCTACCAGTCTCAGGTGGACCAGGTTATCGAAGGTACTGATTGTTTTCTAATCTCTCTTTAAACACAGTCCTCCAGCTTGTATATGCAAAAGACTATAATACATGTTTCCTATATAGGTAACGCTGCCATCGTCCTACGAAGTCGCTTGAAAGTCCGGGTGCTTAAAGAGAACTGGGAGAAGAAGGCCAGATTGGACGAGAAGGGCATCATCCTGACCAATGGGGACACGGAAAGCAGACGGAAAAGCGTGCAGTATCAGGTAATATCTGAAGCTTAAATCACTTCTTTATAACGCATCAACAAAACCATTTTGAGCCAAGATAAAAATACTTTTTTAGTCATTTAGTTTATTCTGAGTGACTTACACCAACCCTGGTAGATGAATGGCTCTCCTAAACTTAGACAAAATCACTAAGTTGCAAATGAATATGAACTGCTTCTGTGGTAGCAGCCAATAAGAAATATTTGGTGATTAATCAGCTCCATGCTCCGGAGCAGTAACACTCGTCCACCAAGTGAAGTCAATCCCCAGCTTTGTCACTTCACATGTCAAAGTGTCCTTAGGCAAGAGACTGCACCCAAAGTGGCTTACCAATGGCAAATAATGTGTATCTTGATTACTGAGCATGTAGCATCTTGATTCCTCGATGTGTGTGTGAATAGGTGAATGCTCACGTGTTGTAGAAGCGCTCTGAGTGGTCGCCAAAGACTAGAAAAGCTCTGTATAAGTGCAGTCTATTTACCACTGAGAGTCAGGAGAAAACAGCCTAGTCAAATTGAGTCATCTTAATGACAGGTCTCGCCACCATGATGCCTTCAGGCTATGAACATGTTGTTAAAGAACCGCAGTAGTAAACACTGGCAGCGGCTCTATAACCAGCAGCTCTAAAAGCAGGTATGAGGTAAACAGACAGGAATTCCCCCCCCCCCAGAAGAAAAAGAGAAATCTCCAACGAGGCGTTCTGGGGCAGTAATAACCAGAAAAGCATGACATGGGACCTTTAAGGAGAGTCTCATCCAGTGCACACAGTGTTCATGCCAGCATATGTGTTTCAGGTGCTGAACGAGGTGGTGGTGGACAGAGGCCCCTCCTCGTACCTTTCCAATGTGGACCTGTTCCTTGACGGACACCTCATCACCACAGTGCAGGGGGACGGTGAGTGGAAGACAAACGTGACTCTCACATGAAGTTTGCTCTGTTAGTGTTACGCCCTCTTTTACCAAGTCTACTGCCCACACTTAAATCACATCAGTGCAGAGGCTGCCAAGCTCTCACACCTGAGTGATATTTAAATGAAACCGGTCAGACAGACGCTCAAGCCCTGGTCTTCTCTGTAGCGGAATACTGCGCTCCAGTCTGGAGTAGAAGCCCTCATGCGAGAAAGGTCGACGTGGCTATCAATACCTCCCTCCGAATAATAACTGGATGCTTAAAGCCTACCCCTGTGTCCCTCTTGCCAGTCCTCGCGGGAATAGCACCGGCCGGCCTCCGACGGGAGGCTGCCACCCTCGCCCTGGCCAGGAAGGCACAAAAGTATGACTGGCACATCCTGCACAACACCACAATAACACCAGCACCTCCAAGCAGACTCAAGTCCCGCCACCCCTACAACAAAGCAGCTCAAGAGATGCTCAACTCCACCTCTGAGGACATCTCCAGAGATGCATGGTTGGCAGCAGCTTGGAAGCAGGAGTGGGAGTCAGCCGTGCCCTCCCGAATCCACCGTTACATCTGGGACCCAGGAGATGGCGCCATTGGAGGAGACAACCTACCGCGCCGGCAGTGGACCACTCTGAACCGTCTACGAACTGGGGTCGGTCGCTTTAAAACATAGATGAAGACGTGGGGCTTGGCGGACAGTGCGGCATGCGAGTGCGGTGACCCTGAGCAGACCGCTGTCCATATAATCACCATCTGCCCCTTATATAGACCACCCTCGGAAGCCGGCCTCTTCGACCTAGGACCAGAGATGCAAGCATGGCTACACGACACCGAGTTGGACCTCTAACGTTACACGAAAGAAGAAGACAGACCGAACCAGATGATCAGGAGATAAGAACGAGTCTCTCTGGGTGTTCCTCAATGTCGAGAAGGCTTGCTTGGTAGCACATGTACCTCAGAGTCAGTTGCTTCAGAAGCGAGGCAAGAATCCTTCCTTGCCTCGGAAAACGAAGAATGGTGGAACAGGCTAACAGGTGTGCGTCATATGCGAGGCCCCGCCTTAAATGGAGCGCGATTTCCGCCAAAGATTTGGAAATTGGTCCCTGCGCAAAGCATTGTGGGGATTTTAAGACCGCGGAGTCTACACATGTGCAGCCTCGAAATTTCCCGCAACGAAGGACGCCGGCCTCGGTAGAATTCCAAGGATCCTGGACATTGTAACAGTCCTTCGGCGGGACTCGATGACGTAGCATCCTTGAAATAGTAGCTCTGGAGGAGCCTTCCTCGACATTGAGAAACACCCACTGTCCCGCTGGCAGCTTCCTCCCTGCTGGCACTGCCTTTATGTGATTGTTCTGTTAGACTCTCCTTCAAAATATTTCTAGGAAGAATTGAGGCTTGGCGAAAATATTCAAAGAATATAAAAGATTACCATCTTAATAGCTTCTAAATATAAGTTATACATTTGGTGTCAGGTCATTGAGTTTGTATAGGAATGTTAATGCAGCTTAATAGTTAGTGGAATGCTGTTTTCAGCATTCCACTATAGTTCTTCTTTTCTTTAATCATCTAAAATGTCATCTTTTTTTTATTTCACCAAATAGTTTGGCTCTCAATAACTTCAGCCTACTTTCAGCTACAGAAACCATTAAAATGTCAAAAATATTCAGCCCACGATGGGAAACTTTCAACTTTTTCGAAATATGTTATACTTTTTGAAATATTCAGCTTTTTAAACTGTAACTCAATGGGAGGAACCTTCAAATCCTCTTTTAACTACACCGTGCACCAAATGCTACTCCTTCCACATACTTTCAGCTAGAGACTTCATTCCAACTTTAAAATGATCACAAGACATTCAGCTATAACACTTTTTGAGATATTTAACTTAGTTGGAGCTTGGTAAAGGGGCCTTCTTCAGATTTTAACATTAGTGTGTATTGCGCAGCTTGTTGAGGCTTAGAGTGCGTGATGTCACACTTAGGTTGCGGTCGGATAATCCCAAAATCAGCTCCTAAATTCTAACCCTATCGTCTATTCCTTGACCTCTGAGTGAAACGTCACGGGGTTAAGGGATAGTGGATAGGAGAATTCAAAAGGACTTAGGAGAAGAGACTGCGGTACTTTAGAGAATCGACTGCACTTTCACTATCCGACGTGTTTATGATGCGCCAGCGGACGTCATGAATGTGTGTCTGCTGCTGTGGGGAAACTATGGAAACTACAGTTCTCTATACAGCGGACTACAACATGGATGTTTAATAAGAACGAGGGACTACTGTAAACTCATCTAGAGACTCTGCACCGTGCTCTGATGCTGTTGCTTTATGCTTTATGAACGTGGACAACAGAGAAACATATTCTTCATGACCAAAGTTGGAATTGAAATAAAAAAGGAAAGTGAAACTTATGCTCGTCACCCTCTCCCTCCGGTCCACATTAATACAAATGATCCCAATACGTATGATTGTATGAACTATTAAAAGATCTTAAAATCAATACAAATGTATTTATTATAAACGTTAGTCCTTAACATCTATCACTGTGTATATCACCATTCAAACATCTTTTAAAAGTTGAACAAACCCCACACAGCTCAGTAAAGACTGTGAGATGTTGACTTTATTTGATCATTTCAGTAAAAACTAACGTTCATATTTCTCTTGTTGATTATAATACTGATGAACGTTCAGACAAAAGCACTTTGGCAACTTACCACATACGTTTTAAAATGCTTAATAAGCACCGTAACGTTCATGATATAATTTCTCGGTCATAATCGGTTGTTTCCGTGAACGGCCGACTGTTGTGATGGCAAATGCTGTGGCTGCAATGCATTGTGGGGCAGCATTTGCTCCTCTCCTTTCGTAAAGGGAGGTTCAGTGGTTTCTAAGCTAAAGGAGGTTATACAGGAAGTTTGAAACCTCCTTTCCTTTCATCTATTCTAGAGAATTGGAACGGCACTTATCATGGCTGCCACTGAGGGACTTCCGGGTCATTTCACTCCGTTAGGAAGGTTCCTAAGCTAAATGGACTATTCGACTTCAGCCCTAGAGTGGAGGAGAGCTTGAAATGTGTCATAATTAAATGTGTCATAATTCCCAAACCCTACACTCCTGGGACATAATTGTATGCTTGAATTGTAGGAAAACCTCTCTTAGGTTGAAAAACAGACTGTCTCAGCCTATTATTTTCTGTCTGATGGAGACTTCATACTGATGTCAACATGTTCCACATATTTTATACATTATTGGTGACGTATGGTTTTAGTTCAAAAGTTTGCAGTTAAAATATTCTGCTGTTTTTCAAAGCGTTTTTACTTTCTTTTCTCTTCTTAATACACATTCATTCACTACTACTTACATTTAATATTGAACTCCTTCAGCCTATTTTCAGCTGCAGAAACCATTCAACTATAAACTTACTCAGCTATTTCAGGACATTGAGGCTATACATTTTGTCGTTTATACCTTTTTTAAACCTTTTCTTTTAAATATTAAGCTAGTTCTTCACTGTTTTTCCTACTCTTCCAGTTTAACATTTCAGTTTCAAATGTTCAACAAAGTCATTGCAATGCATTTGAGCTGTAACAATTTGATTCAAATCATTTCACTTTTCTGCATTTCTCCGCTAAGTTCAGCAAAACACACTGACTTGGTCTCTGTAGCTAAAAGCAGCTAGAGACCATTCAACTAAGAACATATTCAGCTTTTTCTGCATTTTCAGCTAAATTGAGCAACAAATGTTCACAGTTTACAGCATTCGCACGCATTTTCTTGTTGAATTGAATTAAGACAAATTGATAGTTTTCCAATTCCTTTGAAGTTATGTGATTTATCCTTTGATCCTCTGTTCCAGCAGATGTAGGATTTTCTGTTGTTGTTAAAAACATGTGTTGGTTATATAATTTAAATCTATTGCAGTATTGTTATTGTAAGGGAAACCTATGCACCCCCCTTTTTTTAAATTAGTCACACTGTTAATATTGTTGCAACTAAAGTGTCCAATGTTCACTTCCTTGTCTAAATGAGTCATGAAACAATTACGAGATTTTAATCAAAATGATATCTACTCAATTTAGTTGAGCTTTCATTAGGATGTATTTTACATAAAATGTGTTTTTTGTGGCATTTTAATTAATTAAAACCTTTGTGGAGATGCTTTTATTGTGAACTCTACATCTTGCCTTAACTCGCCGTCTGTGTCCCCTCAGGAGTGATAGTGTCCACCCCCACAGGAAGTACAGCGTACGCCGTGGCAGCCGGAGCCTCCATGATCCATCCCAACGTCCCGGCCATCATGATCACCCCCATCTGCCCCCACTCCCTCTCCTTCAGACCCATCGTGGTGCCGGCCGGGGTGGAGCTCAAGGTACTGAGGCTCACTCTGTTCAGGAAGTACAACTCGCATTTTAACTGAGGAATCAGTTTCGACTGCCAATAAACCAACATGTTTTTTTAAGCAAATCTGAAGTTAATGCAGCAGCACTTACAATGGTTTGGCTAATTCAAAGCATATATATCTGCATTTGTATCTTAATGGTTTATTGCACTTATTGTAAGTTGCTTGAAATAAATGTAATACCATTTAATAATTGTCTGCATTCTTTTAAAGAAAATGTTGCGTTACTGGGTGAGATCATAAATGATTTATACAAAATAAATCATTAAAAGTTTTTGATTTAAGAAAGAACACGTAACAAGTCAAGTTTTTGGAGGATAGAAAACATAATCTTCTCTCTTTTGTAAATTAAAACCATAAAAATGTTTTCTTTCTTTGACTTTCTGCATTCTTCTGTCTGTTTGTAATAGATAATGCTGTCTCGCGATGCCAGAAACACAGCCTGGGTGTCATTTGATGGAAGGAAGAGACAGGAGATCTGTCACGGAGACAGGTTAGTCCACACACACACACACACACACACACACACACCACACACACACACACACACACACACACACACACACACACACACACACACACACACACACACACACACACACACACACAGAGACAGACAGACAGACAGACAGACAGACAGACAGACAGACAGACAGACAGACAGACAGACAGACAGACAGACAGACAGACAGACAGACAGACAGACAGACAGACAGACAGACAGACAGACAGACAGACAGACAGACAGACAGACAGACACTGAGCTAATGACGCAAAACAGAACCCAGAGATTGCGTAATGGATAATAAGTTTAGCGCAACACTGGCAGCTTTGTTGTGCAACCGTATCAAGGCCCGGAGAGTCCCTCTGCGTCAGGCCCAGCGTCTTCCTTTATGTAACTTATCTGGAGGTAATCTCCTTCCTGCTTCGCCCAATGGGCTGCCAGTCAGTGGAGTCATTGCAGCGCACTGAAACAGGCCCATTGTTGCTTCCGAGGGAAGTTACTGATGTCCACACCTCTTCTTTCTATCAATCATTACAAGTACCTGGACTTTTCTTTCTTCATTGTGACACAAGACCTTTTCTCTGATTGTTCTTTTTTCTTTCTTCCCTGTTCCAGTATTACCATCACCACTTCCTGCTTCCCTGTTCCCTCCATCTGTTTCCGGGACCCGGTCAATGATTGGTTCGAGAGCCTGGCCCAGTGTTTGCACTGGAACGTGAGGAAGAAGCAGAACCAACTCAGCTCGGAGGATGAAGAGTTCTGAGGCACGAGGCGTCCTTGAGGTCTTCCTCAGTGTCAAGGGGCCCGACCTGGCTCCGTGCCGTTTCCTTTTCTTTTGTTTATGGATTGAAGGTCTCGCCAAACTCCATTCAAGAAGTCTATCAAAATAATGTTGCTCTTAATAGCGTAGACGTTGCTCCATAGTCATATTCCAAGCATGGGGTCTTAGAGTATTTGTATGCAGGAATTGAGCAAGTCTTATGCTGAGGCGGAATCATGTTCAGTCTTTTTACTCTTAGCTATTCAATTCTCATTGCAGCATATTGACATTATCAAAGTTTCCATGTTCTATCCACGCCCACCCGTATTTGGAAAATGTAGGATGTGCATAGACAAAAAAATCCAGTCTATTGAGTACTTTACAATTATATATTAGGTCATTTTCTGATATGTAAGCATATTAAACTTTTTAATGGAGTTTGGCCCCCTGTCTGTCAAGGATTGTTCCAATGTGTTTCCATCTGTCTGCAAACGAGCCTTTTCCAAATCAAAAAGCAGTTTGTATATCTTAGGTCATGTAGATTTTTTTATTATTATCAGATGTAAAAGCAACTTTGGGATGAACTTGGACTCAAAGTCTGAAGGTCAGTTGTTGAAGTTATTGCAATACCATTGTTGGTCTGTTTTAGCACTTTTCAGTCTTTAAGAAGGACGGCAGGGACTCCTATTACTTTATAAACAAAGAAGCTAATGCTCTCAGTAGAAGGATCAGTTACAACTCTCATGAAGAAAGAAATGTTGAATCAAACTTTCCCAGTATCTGTTCATCAAGTCAGGATGTGATGTCATGGATGAATGACAAACGTTGTCTTACACTATATTTGGTGCATCCTGGGAAACAGATTGACGTACATAATGGGCAAAACTGGCCCGGGTGTACAGACTGTGCCTTAAACACTGGTATCATTAATGTACAGATATAGTGTAATTTTTCAAGGTTCACATCAGGGTGGTGATGTAATCACACACATGCACAGATGTGTGATCTGTGCATTTCCATTGTAACTACAGGTTGTCTTTGCTGTCTGCAGCGCATTGACAGTTCTAAAGTGTGTGTCACAAAGTCCCACAGTCATGGAGTCAATGCGCTGACGTGGAGAAATGCGAGAGAAGAGACCACAGCTCCCCTGTCTTCAGTGTCTTTCTAACGCCTGGTTTTTCAAATGACGTCGAAGCCATAGCTGAACTCTGTAGGTTTTATAGACTGTGGGCTCTGGGGGGTTTTAATGGTCTGTGTGTGTTGAGGAACTAACATTCTCAGATTCTGCCGCTGCGCAGTCTTTAAGGTGGCTCGCCCTACATATCTGATCCCATCAAATGTCTAAGTGTTAATATATACAGATATGAATTGGCTCAACAGTGTTGTCATCTTTTGAATGAACTCAAGGGACCAACCAGCTCTAAAAGGCAATCATTCCTAACTGTGTAAATATGCGACGCTTGAATAAAATGTATTTTGTAAAGTCTATGTTTATTAACCAGTTTACAATGTATCATTGCTGAAAATAAATCTATTTGGTACTTTTTTTACATTAACACGTTCCTCAGTAGTTTTTTTTATTGACATGTTTTAGCAGTTTTGATTTTCCAAATTTCCAAAACTCTTATTCAAACTTTCAGTCAAATTTTTTAGATATAATTATAAATCTCAAAACAGATTATGATAACAGTTCATTTCCAATGTTGGGCTGTTGATTCCCACTTATCCCCAAGTTGTGCAAAAAGCCTGCACTGTGACTTCTCTTTTTCTCAAAGTGCTTTCACTTTTGTAACTCAGACTTTTGTATTGTTAATTTTCTTAATGTTTCTAATATGCATCCTGCTATTTCTTTTTCCAGAGCACTTTAATAAACAGAGAGAAAGTTAAACCAGGAAGTGTGCATCCTCATGTTTGATCAACTTGCTTCACACCTGGAGCCAGTACTTGGGTTCATGTGTTTTACCTCCAGGTAATTAATGTTACCTGGAGGTAACGCCAGTTCTTCAGTCCAATAACTTTCATTTCACCTCCTCTTTGACAGCAAATCAAAAACATCAACCTTGGCATGATAGTTTATTTAGAACAGTGCAAAAAAGGGAGTGAGTAAGAAAGTTGAATACAAAATTTTCCAGTGTTGCATAGAGAAGTAGTCTAGATATTTTAGATACACGATTTAGGTTGAACGATTACAATTTCAAAAAGCAAACTAAAGTCAACCAAAATGTAAATGTAATTTACAGGAAAGAAATGTAAGAATTACTTTTAAGTTGTGTCTGCATAAAAAATCTTGATATACTAAGGACTCAGATATCACAATGTGTATTACAGTAAAAACAATACAAGCTACAAAGGCGTTTTCAGTTGTGATGCTTTACATCCATGTAAAAAGGAGTGTTAGCTGAAATAAAAATATACAGTACTCGGCACACAATAGGCAAAGAAAAGAATGTGGACAATGTCAGCAGTTCATTTCGTGAGTGAGCGGCGCCGGGCTCCCAGCATGCAGCTGTGTCCTTGGTCCGCGACCACTGGATGTTGTATCACTTGCTGGGGGCAAACACTGAAAAGAGAAGTAAAGTTGAGTACAACATGTTGGTGTTCTGACACTTTCTAACTAATATAAACACACTCAAGGTCAGCAGAGGGGGGGATGGTTTCTCAGTTTTAACGATGTGTTCAAGAATTAAAGAGGGAAGTAGTTCAGGATATTTCGAAATCGGCAAAGATTACATATTTTTTCAATGTAGTTTTTTTGTTGTCTTCTGCTCAGATATATTGAAACAGTAGGGCTCCAGTTTCTCACTCTCACCACGGGAGAGCAGTACATAATCCTTTTAAAAACAGAGCAAACCTAAAAGCTGTGCTAAGGAGACAGTATAGTCATTAATGGCGAGTTTCCACTGCAGGCCTCTCGGCCTCGCTCGGTTTGATTAGGGCCGGCTCACTTTAATGCTGCGCTTCCATTACAGTTTAGGAACTGGGGTAGTTACTATAGTAACGCAGTGTAGGCGGAGCCGTGACGTCATATTCAATGAGATCCCCAGAAAAACAACACAGCCGTTAGCTCTTAGCACTCAGAGCTCACAGCTCTTCATATCTGTTCAGAAACTAGACAAAAGTTAAACAAGTCCAAACCACAGACTGCCTGTGTCATGGCGAATGCAGTCGCTGGTTTATGTATGTCTGTATAGGCCGTTGTTGTGAGTGTGGACGGTCGGAGCATATATAACGTTAGCTTAGCCAAGCTCCATTTAGAAAACACGCATTTTAAAAGGGGTTTTCGCCTGCCGTCGTCTGTCTGCAGACTTGTCAAAGCATTAATTCATGGTTTTTACTAACCGGTATCAGCAGGGCCGTTTCTTCCTATATGCGGACTATGCGGGGGCATAGGGCCACTAGGGGGCCCCCAAGCTGAAAGTATTTTTTTTGTTTTTGTTTGTATTCATCCGAAAAACAAAAAAAGTTTAATTCATACACACAAAGATGAACAAAATTAGTAGAAGTGGGAGGGCTGAAGCATAGCTTGTGGAAAGTAGCCCTCCCGTGCATCATTCTAATACAGCGGCATTATTGCGTCAAAAATGTATAGAAATGGAGTACAAAAAAATTAAGAAAACAGGAGAAAAAATTAAATAAAAGTTAGGGCAGGTAAACAATAAATGCATATATGTATATACGAAAACTAGATATAGGGTCATTTTCTGCACATGTCAATAGCAGTTTCAACTATCTTTTTTTGGAAATTAAAATACTATATATAAATATATACATAGGCACACATGCACTTGGCAAATGAATAATAATAATATATGCATAATTGCATATAAACATTGTGAACACTTATTTTCAAGTGACTTTTTTTACATTCATATGTTCACGCTGTGGTTTGGAACTGCTTTTGAATGTTATTAGGCATTTTGTTATGGAAAATGTTGTGCATAATCAGTACTGTTTTAAGCTCAACACATTTGAATAGATTGAGTTTTTTTAAATATGGGAGTTGTGTGTTCATATTTACCAACACCACAGACTATTCGTAATACTTTTTTTTGGGATGTTATTATTTTTTGTAGATTTGTTGAGTAAGTGTTTCCACATATTTCGGAGCAGTATTAAAGGTAAGGGAGAAATAGACTGTTATAAAGAGTATATTTTCTTCAAGAATGTTCTTAGTATGATACAAAATACCTATTGTTTTTGACAGTTTAGTCTGTACATAATTTATATAGTGCTTCCAATTGAGTTTTTCGTCAACAAGCAGTCCTAAAAATGTACATGCACCAACTTGTTCTATCTCTGTATTGCAAATCCGTATAATGCAGTCATTTCTACTCTCAGACTTTGTATTGAATAACATGTAATTTGTTTTGGCCACATTAAGGGATCATTTATTAACTGCAAACCAGTTACATAGTATTTATAATTCTGCATTAACAATCTTAACAAGATCGCCAAGATTATGATGGGAGCAGAGAATTCAAAGTTCAGGTTCAGCCTCAATATATTTGGGGAGAATTAAAATGAGCCGTCTTTATTTGTAGACAGCCAAGCCCCCTCCTGTGAGTGTTTGGTGAAGCATTATATGCTTACAAATCCAATGTAGGATATAAACACGACTAAACTGCAATGGGAAGAACAATACGGATTCCGTCCTGGTCGTGGAACGACGGATCAGCTTTTTACTCTCGCAAGGATCCTGGAGGGGGCCTGGGAGTACGCTTATCCGGTCTACATGTGTTTTGTAGACTTGGAGAAGGCGTATGACCGAGTTCCCAGGGAGTTACTGTGGGAGGTGCTGCGGGAGTATGGGGTGAGGGGGTCTCTACTCAGGGCCATCCAATCTCTGTACTCCCAAAGCGAGAGCTGTGTCCGGGTCCTCGGCAGTAAGTCGGACCCATTTCCGGTGAGGGTTGGCCTCCGCCAGGGCTGCGCTTTGTCACCAATCCTGTTTGTAATATACATGGATCGGATTTCGAGGCATAGTCATGGGGGAGGGGGTCTGCAGTTCGGTGGACTAAGGATTGCACCACTGCTTTTTGCAGATGATGTGGTTCTAATGGCTTCATCGGTCTGCGACCTTCAGCACTCACTGGATCGGTTCGCAACCGAGTGTGAAGCGGCTGGGATGAGGATCAGCACCTCCAAATCTGAGGCCATGGTTCTCAGCAGGAAACCGATGGACTGTCCACTCCAAGTAGGGAATGAGTCCTTACCCCAAGTGAAGGAGTTCAAGTATCTCGGGGTCTTGTTCTCGAGTGAGGGAACAATGGAGCGTGAGATGGGCCGGAGAATCGGAGCAGCGGGAGCGGTACTGCAGTCGCTTTACCGCACCGTTGTGACGAAAAGGGAGCTGAGCCAGAAGGCAAAGCTCTCTGTCTACCGGGCCATTTTTGTTCCTACCCTCACCTATGGTCATGAAGGATGGGTCATGACCGAAAGAACGAGATCGCGGATACAAGCGGCCGAGATGGGTTTTCTCCGCAGGGTGGCTGGTGTCTCCCTTAGGGATAAGGTGAGAGGTTCGGTCATCAGGGAGGGACTCGGAGTTGAGCCGCTCCTCCTTCGCGTCGAAAGGAGCCAGTTGAGGTGGTTCGGGCATCTAGTTAGGATGCCACCTGGGCGCCTCCCTAGGGAGGTGTTCCAGGCACGTCCAGCTAGGAAGAGACCAAGGGGTAGACCTAGGACCAGGTGGAGGGATTATATCTCTTCGCTGGCCTGGGAGCGCCTTGGGATCCCCCAGTCAGAGCTGGTTGATGTCGCCAGGGAAAAGAAAGTTTGGGGCTCTCTGCTGGAACTGCTACCCCCGCGACCCGACCACGGATAAGCGGGAGAAGATGGATGGATGGATGGATAAACTGCAATGATAGCAAAGCTGTGGCTTGGGTTTTTGGGGTAATAAAGTTCAAATCATTGTTGGGCTGACAGCTGAGAAAATGCTGCATCTCTTGCATTTATTGACATAGAGGAGCCTTATTGTTTACCTTTTTAATATCATTTTTTGTAATTTTCAATTGCTTGGTTTTCGTGAAATTAGCCTGTTTTCCTAAAGTGTAACAGATTGATGCATCTCCACAGATCATCTTAAAGGCTTCGGAATCCCCCCCATTGTAGTTAAAAAACTGTCAAAACTAGGGCCCCCAAACAGCATCTTGCATAGGGCCCCCAAAAAGCTAGAAACGGCCCTGGGTATCAGTATGTTGTTACTTCGGCATCATTTTGAAACGTGTATTACAATTAAATCATGGTCAAATATATATCTTGTTGTAGTTGTAGCCCCCTTGCCAGCGATTCTCTCTCTAGTTTAGTATACTCAGCCCGACTCAGCCTGGTTGTTCCTGGCCCTAGAACCACGATTTAGTCGGGCCAGAAAAAAGGTGAAAAAGTAGCCCCGGGCCAAAACTAGGCCAAGTGGAAACGCAACCAAAAACGGGCCCCGCACGGCTCGGCACGCTTAAAGCGAGCTACATGCAGTAGCTCGCGCCATAAGAAACATTTACACTCAGTATACTCACTCCTCTCTCTCAGGCCTTGTCCAAAGCTGTGCACCAGTCTGATG